TATTATAGCTTATTGGTTTATAGTGTTTGTGCATTGAACATGGGTTGTTGTTTTTTTTTAGCAGTAAACCACTTTTCTTAACTTTGGTCAAAATGATCTGAGTTTCTGTTCAACAAATATTTTGAAATTTTCACTGTTTCCCATTGATTTCCTTCTTCTTCACTGATGAGGAATAGTAAAGTTCTGTTGCTGTCATGACTGATCTGTTGTAAGAAATGTTCACTTCAGTGTTATGTAACTGAATAATGATCGATAGGTTATTATTATTATTTCATCTGTGGTGTTGTTTTAGTCTACAACATGCACAATAATGATTCTAGACCGAGACATAAATTTTAATAAGTCTAGAAGTGTACGTTTAGAGAGTTTTCATAAATAATTTGTTGAAGATTATATGTATCTTTACAAAAGTATGATGCTATGGAATATTTAATGTTGACTATGACATTTTATTTTGCTTTATTTGTATAATTAACATGACAATCAAAGAATTGAATCTCAGTTGCCATAGAGATCTTAGCCATTCAATCAGGAAAAATGAAGTCGGAGGGGGGGGGAGAAACATATTTAGGAATAATAATGAACTAATGAATAACTTTTACTCATCTATGTTTATATTATTCAATTGATTTTCAGTTATGAAAACTTTCAAACATTGAATTATCACATAAAACATATATTGATCAGCCTAAATAGCTAAATTCCTTTTTACTATGTAATAAATATTGTTTTCTTGTCATTAATGATAGAAATTGAGTAGATTACATTTGTTCACATATAATATTTGTCACATAGAAACATTAATCTGATGAACAACATTCAGCTTATTATGTTTTTAAAGTATTTAAACAAAATTTTTTTTAAAAAAGGTAGTAAAGAATGTGATAATACAATGATACCTGTGTTTTTCTCACTCAGTAACATTCCATCTTCAATGTTTTTTATCAGCCTTTAAAGTATAGTTTAACCTTGTCTGACTGATGTAACTGATTTATTGATTAAATGATTGATTTAAATTTGTGCACAATTAGTGTGCTTTTTGATCAACTAATGTAATTCTAATCTGATATGATATTTAATAGGAATAGGAAATCAATGAGTATTTGTTTTGTGGTTATTACGGGATATGTGAATAAATTGGGAGGTTTATTTAAAGAAACAAGTACCATATACATGAAAACTTGGTTTTCAGTAATTCTACTAGTTTAGTGGTAAATTCGTATATACCTTTGAGTCTTTTAGCAATTGCTTGTGTCGCAATCATATTACAATCATTTAGCAATACCACACTAATAAAATAATTGAATTCAAAATATACATTATTGTTTGGTGAGCAGTGTACTGCATAATGGCATACTGTTTTAAATTTTAGTTTTCTCATTTTCTAAAGGAATTAATGGAGCAAATATTATTTCGTATATTTTCAGAAATTTATATCGTGAAAATATTGGTCCTGTATTTCCCAATGATTTTATTGGTTTGAATGGCGGTCAAATAATGTCTATTAAACTATTCCGTATGACAGGATAGAAACTTTCTTGGGTTTATTCAAATAACTATTGATTCATGCACACATACACACCATGTAAAGATTACTAATTTTCTAATAAAAAAAACCTAAGGACTCATCTTAGTTAAAAAAAGTCTCATTTTAATAAGTAGCATTTCATTGAACGAATATTCAGATGTAGACTTCCAAATAAGGTTATATGGGACTAGAAATACAGAGTCTGGACAGTGTGTTGATTATCATGAAACCTCTCTGTTCAGGCATCGGAAGTCTTATTTACAAACAGAGTAGTGCATAGTAAATTGAAGTAAAACATTGAAAATGTTTGCGGTATATTCATCATGAGATTCTATCTGAGACAATAAGAGTGTTGAAAAAAAGTAGGTTTATCTGCAATAATAAGTTAATATTTGCGTAAACATAATTTTATTTTGATGAATTCGCTCAAACAAGATGTGTGCTTAGAAAAAAAAGTCTTAAGCATGATGAGTACTTGAAGAAATTGAAATTAAACATTAAAATAATTATCAGAAAGGGAATTTTGTGAATATTATAGCATACACAAAGACAATGGTGGATGGTGGTGCAATTTCGTGAATTAGTTGAAGTTAGACATTAACACCGCCAGATGCCTGCTTAGTGGTCTAGAGGTTCGGTGTTTGCGCGCGAGGCCGTCAGGTTCTGGGTCCAAATCCCGTGAACAGGTTCGTGGATGTCCACTGCTGAGAAAACCCACAATAGGATGAAACAGCCGTCCAGTGCTTCCAGGTTTTCCATAGTGGTCTAGCTTGAATTAACTCATGAATTCAACTATTAAAATAACTGTTTGAATACGTTTTGGATAAAAGTGATATAATCTTGCTAATGAACTTTTTATTTCATTTTAATTTAAAAGAAATACACTTGAATAGTTTGTTTAACACAGTAACGATTACAGGAAGTTAATTAATATATTTCTAATTTTTTATTGATTTTTACTTAGTGTGATCATAGCTGTTATTTAGTTCATTAACTAATGATTATAAATCCATATTCTTAGGAATCATTGTCAAAAACTGAATCCGTATGCATCAAATAAGATTTTAATCTAGTTAGTTAAATAATCAGAAAGTCCTACTGGGACAATTAACTGAATTCATTTCTTCTAAAAAATAAGTAAATTTTTCAATCGTTTTTTTTTATTAACCATTCATTTAACTTAATGGACATTTTTATATTCAGACATTAATTTGGTGCCTACTACTCATATTTGTGTTGTAAATAATAAGTAGTACATTCAAGAGAATTCTAAGGTATTTTTTTGACTTTGAGAATATTGAAATATAACTAATTACAGCTAAAAGGAAATTTTATTTCTGGAGAGAATACTGCATACTCTCAAAAATGTATTACTTCACCTTTATTCAATACGGAAGCGAAACAACAAAACGAAAAATGTTAGGAGATCATAAGTACTTGTTTCATATTCATATAATCTCTAGTAAATTATTAGATATATTATTTACTCTAGCTCATTTAAATGAAGATTTTTCCTGGCTTTATAATGAAATAAAATGATACACAACTTGATACTAAACCATTTTATATCTAACCACTAAAATTATCTACTTAATACAGATTTAATGGTACCGCAGTTACACTTAATACATTGAGAGATAATTAAATTAAGAGTTGGATGTTGAATCTTGGAATGTCTTTCTTAGATTGAGCTTAGTTTTAAGTTCAACACAAAATACTCAACATAGTGGTTAATATTTTTGCATAGGCTTGTGATACGGAATCCGAATTCTACACCCACTTATGTTCTACAAGAATTTTAATTTTGTTTATTTCGTCTAAAATACTTCACATATAGCGATGTAATTTTGTTATACAAACAACTCCCTTCATTGGTCAATAATTATATCTTTAGTAAAACCTTCATTGGACATTAAGCGTCGACAATTCGATTTTTGTGATAAATCATCACGCCACCAGACTATTTAAATGGAGTCGATTTTGCATTCCATACGATTCACTTTAATATATCTTTAGTTATAACGAACAAATTACATTTACATAAATATTTTTATGTATTCGAGTGTTATTTTTGGACTAACCTTCTACAATCTGTCTGTATCGTATTTAGGGAATGTAACAATGTAATAAAATCATTATTGAAAATAAAAATCTCCCTAAAATGTATCGAGTATAGAGACATTAGGGTTTTTTATTAAGTTGTGAAAAAGGTAGTAAACCGAGTACTAAAATATTTTACTGCTTTTTTTCTTTATCTCATTATTGACAAGAAGGTATATATGTGTTTCAGTACCCTCATGAAATAAAGTTTGACGTTTTTTTCCAACTTAAACCCATATCCTAACGTCATTGTAGTTACCATATAGAAATTAAATTATTGTATTAAATTCAAAATTTTAATTTCTCATGGATTGCTTTTTTAACTTTTCTTGGTAATGATATTGAGACGCATAGAGGTCGCATTACTTTTCCAGATCTTTACAAAATCCTGCCACTTGAATACTACAAAACATAAATACAGACTGAAACAGTGATAGCATTGTATCGCATTGTCAACTCAGCTTTATGTCACGTACTAGGAATTTAATTTATGTGGAAATGAAACATTGTTGAGAATCATGTAATGTGAAGTTGATCACGATTCCGTAACCAGTTTACGTAAACAAAAGGAATTTTAATGGAGATTGTTCGTGAATCCGTTAAAATCACTAATTTAGTGTTTTGGGTATGAATATTTAATGTAATTTGTTTTTGTCCTGTTATGTCTTGGTATGCATAACAGTATATAGACAATAACATTTTTTTAAACAAATGGCGCTTAGCTACCTTGCTAAAGTCTAGTATTCTAGAACTTTAGCCTGTAGCCTGTATCCATGAATAATTCAGCAACAGGACCATCAAGTCAAACTATTTCACTGGTGAGCGATACAGAAATCACCTTATTTAGTATCAAGGCTATTGTTAACGGAATAAAGAATTCATATAGACGGAAATTATGATGGTTGGGTCTCGTTCTGAATCCGCTTTCCAAGATATTTTGTCTCATATATATCAGTGTTACGTGTGTTTCTTTTTTGAGTCCCTCATATTTATTGGGCATTTATACATCTTGTGTTGTTTGATTCGGAAATGGTAAATTCATACATCGATTCCTTAATGAAGTTATTTTAACTGGTCTGTTTGGATCAGAAACTACTGTTTACCTAAAAGCATTTTGTTAACTAGGATATAAGTACGAAGTTTTAAATGCTATAAGTATGGATTTCCAAGTCAGTTAATAAGCCTAAGACAAGAGTTAGAAACGATGCTAGATCGCTTTAGTTGATTCTAGATAATGCGACTAATTAATTCATGTTTAGTCCATTCCTTTACTGAAAATAATAAAAGAAATCATCTAACCCTAATTTTTCCCATGGATAACACTTTCAGTGAAAACTTAAATTAAGCATTTCATGAGCAAAGTCTCAAACATCATATAGGAAAATATATTGCAAAATACATGAAATTACATTGGTATGTAAACAAACCTAAACTACTTGTGAGTAATAAGCATTTATGAAGTAAAATTATGTTTCCCTGGGTTGTGGAATTTTTATATATTAACTGTTGATAGAAATGTAGAAATTCGAAACATTTCATTTAAATCAACTATTATGCACAAGTGTAGCATCATACAATTGTACAAACAATGACTGAAAGAAACTACCTTTATGTACTGTTTTTTTCACTAATTCTCAAATTAAACACATATTACGGTGTTTCCATGTAATTAAACGCATTTCTGATGTACAATTTCTAAACCAAATTCGTTATATTCTTCTCTCGTTACCCACATTTCATTGAAAGTACTTAAAGAGGCTAAAACAGCACCACCAATCCATACTGAGTATTTTCGTTCAGGAGATGCCATCACCTTTACTGTAGCACCTTTTGGGGCTAGACGATGCAATTCTTTACGTAGTCGTTCAGGGAAACCACGAAACATTGTACCTCCACCAGTAAGAATAATATTTGACCAAAAACTCTTTCTGACATCCATTCCACAAGCCAGTATAGTTTCATTTGTGGCAGTGTGAATGCCATTCATTTCGTAACCAGCTAACTTGGGATCGAACATCAATTCAGGTGCACGGAACCTTTCACTACCAATATTTAACAGCTGACCATCAGGTAGACGATACGTCATTTCGTACAACTTTTTATCTCCTTGGCTAAACTGTAGTTCTTTTCCGTAATCCATAGCAACATAACAAAGATTTTCTTTTACATCACGAGCGATTTCATGTTCACATGTTGTAATCAGTTTGTAACCTCTTTCAGTGAGTAAATGTTTAAGATAGTTGGTTACTTCACGTCCTGCTAAATTTCTTCGGTGAATAGCCGTCGGAATAACATACGCATCGAATACAGGAACCAAGTGTGTAGCGCCTTCTCCACAGTCCAATACTAAACCAGTTGTACGACCTGAAGCATAAAGTGAGAGAATAGCTTGAATTGAGATATAAACTGCTGGTGCGTGAAATTGTTCAAACATAATTTCCGCCATTTTCTCACGATTTACTTTAGGATTCAATGGTGTTTCAGTCAAAAGCATAGGATGATTCTCAGGAAGAACACGTAGTTCATTGGTAAAGACATGTTGCCAGATAGTTTCTAGATCATCCCAATTTTGTACAATACCATTCATCATTGGATAAGATAAAGTTAATGCACCTCTTTTACCACCGGCTATATCACCGACGAAGCATTCATCAGAATTTCTGTCAGCAATGACTTTCATATGTTTGGGTCGACCGAGAATCATAGGAACGACTGCTCGTGGTTCCATTTCCCCAGAATAGCCAACTTTCAACAATCCTGTTCCGTTGTCAATAACAATTGGAGGATTATCTGGACCGAACTTAAGTACCATGATTTTAGATTAACTTGAATGATATATATCCTAGTAATTAAATGAATAATTATTGAAGCGTATAATGATTTATTCCTTGATTAGGATGCATTTTAACAAAATATTCAATTTATAAATTTATTTTGAATCTTTCATTGAAATATGGTTGGTCACAGTGATTTGTTTCTCGATAGTTGTCTGTTTATTACTTGTAAGTGGGTAACTGAAAGTAAAGTATACACATGTGATTATCTATGTGCGTGTAAGTGTGATCACTTCCAACTGTGTATACATGCACAGACACACAAACACATGTGTACACCAAAAAGGATTGATGCGTGTGATTTAACTATATTCAGTGAGTATATACTTAGCATAGACTCACTTAGAAACTTTCGGACTATACAAAAGATTGACTTAATAAAGTATTTATGTCACATATACATTTGAGAAAATACTAATGTTCATATTTGTCGTGACAATAACCTCTGTTAAGATCAGTCTTATTAGTTATACGCTACATATGTGGTAGTGTGGTGTGTGCTACTGATGTCAACAGATATAAGTAGTATGTATCATCAATCGAAAGTGAAATGCCTGGTGGCAGAAGATTAAGATTTAAGAAAAGAAAGCGAAAACAGAGAATGGTTGGCGTGGAAACGAAGGAACAATCAAATCTGAGACAATTGATTGACATTTTGCAAATAAAGTATTTACAGTATGGTTCTCAGATTTTACTAAGAGATTCTGTAATTTCGTGTTTGATTACATTTAGTTGTCCCCACTGTTGTTCTCGTTTACTACAGTAGGACCGTTGATGGGCACTCCAGAGTGATGCCATACTAGAATAAAATTTTTGTCTTACTGTGCTGCTCTTCTTGTTCTTGCTTTATTCAAAATGAGTGCGGAGGATTTGTGGAGACTGTTGTATTCTCACAGTGGAAATACTGAACTGATCTTAGCTAAGCTACCATTGAAAACGTGAAGGCACTGGACTGTCGTTTCGTCAGAGTATGGGAATCCTCAGTAATTCGTATCCACATTTCCGCATGCTAGACTCGAACCCAGGACATTTCCATGGTCTCGTGGATGTACACTGCTAAGGAGTTCCATACTCGGATTCATTTGAACACACGGAAGCAAACAAGCATGTGAGGAGGAACATCACAGATGACAAGCAGAAAAGCGTGAAAAAGCTAGCAACGATGTGGAGATAGACCTGACAAGCCTATTTTGTAAATATTTTTTAGTGTTATTTGTATTTATTTTGTCAATTTTTCACTGTATGTACATTTGTCAATAAATGACTGTACGTGTTGTTTAAGTGAATGACCTTGAACACACTTTCCGTTGTGTAACTAAATCGCGTGACATACTGTTGCTTGCTAACAAATACATTGCTACACACATATCCCTCATTCTATTTTCGTTCGTGATTGAGTTAACTGAAATCTAAATCAAATATTACCTACATTTATAGACTGTGAGTGGGAATATACCATACTTTACATTGGATTACACTACTGGAGAGTTCGTTAACATGATTGGAATGACCAAGCATTTATAATTGTGGATTTTCAGTACCAGACTAAAGCCGAACACACATCAATTAGGTGAACTTAAGTAAAGTCCCAATTTTTATTGTATTTGTAACAATTAACTAGCATATGTTAATATTACTATTGATCTTTAATAACTTTGTTGATACTTTTTACATTTATACATCGTCTGGTCCACCACAACGACAATGGAAAAAGCTTCAAGAGAAGGAAATATAAAACAACTACATGACACAACGAAGAAACTAGCAGGATAATATAGTAAAGCAGAGAGACCAGTCAGGGACAAACGAGGCGAGACAATCACTGAGATTCAAGAACAGCGGAACATATGGGTAAAACACTTTGAGGAACAATTAGATAGCCCGGTTCAACTGAATCCACCAGACATCGAAGCAGCACCCACAGACATTCCTACAGATGTCACTCCACCGACGATCGGAGAAACCAGGATGGTCTCCAGACAAACGAAGAGTTAGAAAGCAGCAGGAACTGACAATATGCCGGCTGAAGCACTGAATTCACACATAGAAGCAGCTGCAAACACGCCCCACGTTCTATTCAGAAAGGTTTGAGAGGAAGAATAAGTGCCACTGACAGACTGGAGAGAAGGGAATCTCATCAATATGCAGAAGAAAGGAGGTCTCAGCAAATGTGCGAACGACAGAGACATCACACTAATATCACTACCAGGGGAAGTTTTCAAAAGAGTATTGCTGAATTGGATGAATGATTCGGCAGACCCTCAACTTCGTGATCAACAGAATTAATTCCATATGGACCGGTCGCGCACAGACCAAATCACATTATGGATAGTTGAATAATCAATTGAATGGAACTCTTTGCCATATATCGTATATCGACGTTTGGCAGCTTAGATAGGAGAACCTTAAGGAACTTTCTCCAGTACTATGGCGTGAGTAGCTGAGAAAATCGTCAACGTCATCCGAAATTCACAAGACGGACTACAATGCGAAGTGGTACATAGAGGACAGCTGACAGATGCCTTCCGAGTGATAACCGGAATTTAACAAGGTTGCCTACTATTCCCCTTTCTCTTTCTTCTGTTGGTCAACTGGATTATGAAGACGTTGACATTTTGGAGCAAGCACGAAATACAATGGACAACTTGCATGCAACTAGACAGTTTGGACTTCGCAGATGATCTAGCTCTTCTATCCCACAGACACCAGAAATTGCAGATGAAGACAACCAATGCATCGGAATCCTCTGCATAAATGCGCCTCAACATAATCAAAGGAAGAAGCAAGATCCTCAAATGCAATACAGAGAATATCATCTCAGTCACACTTGATGGAGAAACTCTGAAATAGGTGGGATCTTTCACATTCCTGAGCAGCGTCATCGATGAACGTGGAGTGACGGATTGTCGCATTCTTACAGTTGACGAACATATGGAACTCGAAACAACTTTCTGCAAGCCAATATCGAAGTCAGAATCTTCAATACGCACGTCAAAACAGTTCTGAAAATCGTAGAATTACTACAACCATCACCAGAAAAGTTCAAGTATTTATGAAAGATTGTTTACACAAGATTTTTAATGTCCGTTAGCTGGATAAAGTCAGCAACATCATACAGTGGGAGAGAACTAACCAGCCTCCAGGTGATGACGAAATCGCGAAAAGCGGTTAGAAATAGATAGAACACACATTGAGGAAATCAATAATCTGAATCACGAGGCAAGTGTTAAATTGGAATTTGAAGAGAAACTGATAAGAGGGACGCCAAAAAATAAACCGAGTTGGGAATTGAAAGCAGACATGAAAAGGATGGATGGCAAATGTAAAGGCTTGCCGATGACAAAGTTCGACGAGGAATGTTGGTGTGCTGCCTTTGTTCCACCAAGACGGGTAAGGATGTATGTAACCTGTTTTGAAGACATGATTTACTACGACGTTCTCTCAATGTTTTTTTAATGGACCCAAGGTTACAGAGAGAATTAAAAAATTTTGCTCCAGGTTTTCGCGTCGACGTTTATCAGAATTATCACTGATGTACTACAATACATCCATGTCAATCATCGTGAGTGAAGACGCTTCAGCTTTCGGACTCGGTGCTACCATCTCACATCATTTCCCGGATGCGACAGAAAAAGCTATTATGTGTGCATCTCGCACGTTAAGTCTAGCCCATTCTGCATACTTTTGGGTTATGAATTCGAAATTCAGTGTCGGCGCGCCCAACATTTTGTTTGAGCAGACGCCTTGTCATGACCTGTCAGTGAACATCCTACGGCTGAGGAAGATATGGTTATCACCACCCTTTCTACAGAAGACCACGCGCACTTTTACCTGATACCTGATATTTGTACTTTGACAATCTCATCATCTGAGACACAAGCTGTTTCCAGGGACGACTCAATCACTAATAAAACGATGAACTACGTCACCAACAACTGTCCGTTCGCTGGACTCGATGGTGACATGAAGCAACTTTACCATCGTCGGGATTCATTACATGTAGTAAATGAATGCTTGATGTCTGGAGACAAAGTGGTGGTATCAGGATTTCCACAGTCAAGGGTGCTGGAGCAGTTCCATATTGGTCATCCTGGTGTGAAACAAATGAGATCCATAGCTAGAAGTCACGCGTATTGGCCTCGTATAGACCAGCACATCGTGGATGTGGTAGGCAAATGCACCCAGTGTCAGCAAGTGGTTGATACGTTTTCAGAATGGCTAGAACTTCTCCCCATCATGTCGACAACGACTAGCGAAACGATACTGACCTCACTATTTTTTCCTGGAAGAACTCATCTGAAGTTGCTCGGTCGAGCATCTGCATCAGGTCACGAGTGGGTACGCCGTGCTACGGGTCCCTTTTTATTACCAGCCAGCTCAGAACAAACACTTCTCGACATTTCGATGGCTTTCTAAATAAATTTTCTAACCTCTTCATTTCTGACTTCTGATTTGACTGATTTGGTATGTTCTGGTAATGAAGGCGTTACGTGTAAAGACGTTGTCAAACCCCAAATACTTTTGAGATCTTTAGGTTAAAGAGGTGTGCGGGTCATGAGTATCCAAACAGTGTTGGATGTAGAATGGGAGAGCTTGCATCCATTCTTGTTTTAGGACTGCTTCGCCCACCGTGTTGTCGCTAAATAAGACTTGGAGGTGACGTGTTGTTGACCTATCACTTAATATTTCTACTTGGAAAAACCTCTGGACTCTTCGACTCTGATAAAGCGAGACAGATTATTATCTTTCGTTTTAAAATGAACTGTTGTGATGTTGGTGGACTGGAAATTAAGTCGTGGTTACTCTGGTAACTGAATGTCTCAAAGCCGTACTCTGAGGCACTTCACTGAGGACAGTTTCCCACCTAGACAACATTGAGTTCATCTGTACACTTTGTTGACGCCGAACTAGAAATTCATATAGCCACGTTAATACGTTGCCTGCAATCTCGTTGTTAATCAACTTACATGACAGCCGGTTATGAGGAACTTTGTTAAAATGCCTTGCTGAAGACAATGTAGGCTACACCTATAGGTTACTTTTGGTCGTTAATAGCGCACCGACTTTCACGGGCTACTAACAAGTTTGTGAGATATGAATAACCTGTTCTAAATCCCTGCTGCTTCTCAGAAGAAATCCGTTCGTCGTTGAGATACCTAAACAACTCCTGAAAAATATTGTCTAAAT